AGGGGCACTTTGTAGCAGGCTCTGTACTGGGCACTGGGGAGTGCCAGGCTGACTGAGCTGTGAGCCCTGGCTCCAGAGGAGCCCATGGTCTGTGAGAGCGAGACAGCCATGGACTCCCAGAGTGCCAAACAGTGGGCTCTTCAGGGGACTGTGGGGGGGGGGGGGGAGGAAGGGCATCCAATGATCCTCATAGGAGAATATGTTTGAACTGGGGCTTGAAAAATGATTTTTATTTTGCAGGGTACACAGCCAGGTATGGTAGCCAGGGCAAGCATGACACTCCGTGGCACAGGGCGGTAGGGAGGGGGCTGGAGACGAGACTTGGGGAGTTGGGGGGATCCTGGAGGGCCGTCCTTGGCTGCCATGCTGAGGAGCTTGGACTGAAACCATGAAGGAAATGGGAGGCCATCGTGGGGGCTTAATTATAAGAATAACACAATCAGATTTCCATCTTTAAGACATTCACTGTTCCAGCTGTGGGGAGGATGGCCAGAGGAGGGATGTGGGAAGGACAGGCCTGAAGGTTGCTGGCCAGCTCAGATTTGCCTGAAGCAAGTAGAGTGAGAGGTGCTGGCGGTCTGAACGAAGGTGGTAGCAGTGGGACCGAGAGGAGGGACTGGACAGGAGATTGAAAGGACAGATTGTGGTCTCTGATGGGATGGAGCAGGGCGAGGGTGGAGATCTCCTGTGTTTCTGGCTTCAGTAGCTGTGGTGGGTACAGGTGGCAGCTGAGAGGATGGAGAGCAGAGGGGCAGGGGAGAAATCTGGGGAGAAGGATTACGAGTCATTGAAAAATATGAGGCATCCTGCCCTGTGCTGCATTTGATTCCCTCCACACCCCACAGTCTAGATCCTTCCTACTCCTCACTGGTTCTGTGAGAGCGGCTTCCTGTGGGATTTCACAGTGTTTAGTCTGCTTCGGTTACAATAGCTTATGGATGCTTTCCTTTAATACATATTTATTGACAGCCTATTATGTGCAGGCACTGGGACAGGTGCCTTCACCCCCAGGGGCTTATATTCTACTACAGAAACATCATTCTCTTGCCTCCAAAACACACTGATCAGGAACTAAGTCCTTGACCTAGGTATGCACCTTGATGGGGAATAGGACCGCAAACTTTTGGTGTATGGGAGGATGCTTCAACAAGCTGAGCCACCTGGCCAGGGCTGTGCAGGTACTTTAAAGAAGTTACAAGAGAGCATTTGTCTCCAGGAGTCATAATGGGGGGAGGGGCTGTCCATTCTTTAGACTAGCAGCTGGTCAGTTACAGATTGAACATTTTAGGCTTGGTAGCTCAGATGGGAATCTTTCTCACACTTGGGAAGCATTCTCAGGAGACACTCTGTGTTGTCTGGCTTCTTCCTAATAGTGCTGTTTGCCTATCTGGTGTTGGAGAGAAAAACAGAAATAGGCTGAGGCCTAGAGTGGAGGTCAGTGTGAACGTGGGAAAGGAACCTGGGTAGTGACCGTGTGAGGATTGGAAACGGATGGATTCAAGGGGCATTTCATAAGTAGAATTCTGTGTCCTGGGAGGACCTGGGTGGTGTGTGAAAGGAGGAGTGAAAGATGACCAAAAGCTCAAGCACTGCCTGGACTCAGTGCTGTGGTCAGTCCAATGTGGGAGGTATTGAACTTGAAGTACTGTGAGAAATGAGAAACTATGAAATACAGGAATGAGGGTTTTCATCTCCAACAAGACCTGGGAGATACAGGTTTTGTTACTCTAAACAATGTTCAATGTTCATGCTGACTCTCCATTTTTCTAACAAGGCTTAAATTTCATCAATTCCCTATATTCATTCTGAACAAGCTAAGCATCTGAACCCCTCGATTGCCCTGGAATTGCACCTTCTCTTCTTTTTTGTTCTGTTGGCTACTGTTGTACTTCCGTCATGACTTTAAGTCCCTCAAATTAGGGGTGATTATTACTGTATTTTAAGAGTTAAGAATTATTTAGACTTGCCAATTTCATTGTTAGGCTCCTACATGAAAACAAATTACATACTCAAATAAGGATAATTCCAGAAGAGTTTAATAAATAAACTAATTAATTAATTACTTATAGTAGCTCTTTCTAATGGGTATACATGGGTTGAGGTTCAGAAAGTCACAAGAGGCAGCTTAATGTCCCAGAGCTAGTAACCACAAGAGTTTTGCACTGCTAGGCCTGAGGATATTTAGGAAGGGAGCTGTCCTGGAAAGCTGAAAGCAGAGATGTGCACCCGGAGTTATTCTGAGAGAAGCAGAGACCTCAGAGATACACACCCGCACCAAGGATCATCATGTCAGGAGAACAGGAGACTCTGTACTCTGACCGCACCATCCTCCCTTACTGCAGTGTCCTACTAGGGCTCTCCATTGGCAAAACCCAATTGCCAGCCAGAGAGCAAGGGAGCTTGTTTGGTGTGGGCCATCCTGGCCAGCCTCCAAGAACTTGGCAGGCGTGGAGAAGGGTGTTAGGGCTGATCTGGAGAGCCAGCAGAGACATTCAGGATACCACGTGTCTGGTTAAGTCTTTAGTACACAATTTCTTGGTTCCTAATTTTCCTTTCCAGAGTTATTTTATTCCTTGCTGAAAGAAGTATATTTGTGTGTCTTTCAATGAGGGCTTATGAATAATACATTTCTCAGTACATCTGAAAATGTCTTTAGTTTGCTCTCACTCTTGAATGTTATAGCTGAGTATAAATTTCGAGATGGATAGATATTTTCCTTCAGAACTTGGAAGCTATTTTTTCCACTGTCTCACCTGCTCTTACTGATGAGAAGTCTGCTGTTGGTCTGGTAGTCTGTCTTGAAGTTGATCTTCTTTGTCGGAACTTTTTATGATTCTCTCACTTTCCTCGGTATTTTATTTTATTGCAGTGTATCTAGATATCAATTTGTTTTTATTCTGTGAGAGACTTGGTTGGCTTTTTCAATCTTAGGATTTATATCTTTCTTTAATTCTGAAACATTCTCAGCCCTTATCACCGTTACCTCCTGCCCAGACTCTATTTCTTTTCTTTTTTTTGAAACTCCCATCAAGCATATATTGGAGGTTTTTTTAATGCTGTCCCTCATCTCTTTAAACACGTATTTTCTTCATCTTTTTTTGCACCACTTGTGTCATTTGCATGTATATTTGTACTTGTGCAGATTGACATTTATAGTATCTCCGCCTTGAGCAGTTGTGACGACCTTCAAGGCAGACCAAGGCCTATGACATTGAGGTGGTAATTTTTTTGAGTCCAGAATTGTTTTCATTGTTGTTCAACTACAGTTGTCCCCATTTCTCCCTGTATCTGTGCTGTATTCTGGTCACTTTAGTCTGTGTTCCAACTCACTTATTCTCTGCTCAGCTAGGCTACTCTGAAATATTTCCACTGGGTTGTTTACTCAGTTGTTTGTTCTTTTCTGCATCTATCTATCTATCTATATAAACATATAGCTACTTATTCATTTACTATAATATCCTGTACTTGCCTTATCTGTCCTTAAAATTTTTGCTGTTAAATAAACACTGCTGTCTATATAATTGGATGAACCAAGTACATAGAGCTCAGTGATTTCTCACTGAGCAGATGTCTCCATCACCAGCATTGAGGTATAAAGTGACATCACCAGCACCCTAGAACTCCCTATTGTGATCCTTTCTGGTCTCTACTCCCTCCCAGGCTAAGCCATGAAACCTTTATGTAAATCACTCCCTTGCTTTTCTGTAAAGTTTTACTACCTAAGTTGGCATTCCTAAACACAGTAGTTTATATTTGACTGTTTTCAGTTTTTTTATAGACATGGTAAAGAAGTATGTATTATTTGGTGTGTGGCTTCTTTCACTCAGTGTATATTTGTTAGATTTGTACATGTTGTTACACAAATTGTCGTTTATTCATTTTCAGTGCTGTATAGTATTCCATCAGATGAGTGATACATACATATATAAACATCTATTTATCTATTATGAAGATGTCAGAAATTTGAGCTGCACTTCAGGGCTATTATGAATAATGGCAGTCTGAACAGGCACTCTGATGTGTGTCTGTTGCTGTAAGCAGGCATTCATTTCTGCCGGGTGTGTACCTAGGAGAAGATCATGAAGTAGATAGTGCCGAATTGTTTTCCATAGTGGCTGTTATTTTACATCCCCACTGGTAGTATGAGAAAGTTTCCTTGTTCCATATCTTTGGAACACATGTCACTATAAACTTTTTAAATGAAGGCATTCTTCTGGGTGTGTAGTGATGTATTTCTGATGCTTTAACTTTCATTTTTCTAATTTCTGCTGATGTTGAGCCAAAGTTTTTAATGTGTTTATGGACCATTTGGATATTCTCCTTTATGAGTTGCTCACAAGTCTCTTACCTGTTTTACTATTTGTGTTCTTCTTGGATTTGCAGGAAATTGTTATATATTTTGGATATGAACCCTTTGTGGATTTCATGGGTGATATTTATCTTTTTTCATGCTGTAGTTTGCCCTTTTTACTCACCTGTTGGTGACTTTTTGATGACTTACAGATTTCCATTGCTCTCCCAACTTTTTATCTGAAAAAATCCAAACCTATAAAAAAAGTTGAAAGAACAATACAATGAGCACCTATTATTCTTCAACTTATATTCACCCATTTGCTGAAATATTTTGCCATATTTGTGCTCTGTCTCTTTTTGTCAATCTGCCTCTTTCTCTCTCTCTCAACCTGTCTCTCTCTCTCTCTCTCTTCACACATACTAACAGATATGAATCATCTCAGAGTGAGTTCAGCTTTATCTTATGGTTCTATCAATATTCCAGCATGTGTCTCCTTTGAAAGAAGTAAAGTGCTGATAACGTCATTATACTCTAGGAACTTGTAACATTCTCATTATAATATAGACTATAGTCAAATTTCCCAAGTACCCTCTAAATGTTTATAGCTTTCTTTCCCTCACCTAAGTTCCAATTGGAGATCATGAATTGCATTCTTCCTTTATCTAAAACAGTGCACCAATTGTTTTTGTCTTTCCTTGTGTTGTAGACTGTTCCACAATCCGGATTTGACTGTTTCCTCTTTATCGATTCAGGTAAACAAATTGGGCAAAAATACTACATGGATGATGTTGTCTGTTCTCCTTTGCATTATCACGAGGCTCATGATACCAGTTAGTTCCATTATCACTGATGCCTGGTTTGATCACTTCATGAAGGTGGTGTCCATCAGCTCTTCCCATGTAAAAGTACCTTTGTTTTCCTTTTGCAGTTAATAAGTAACGAGTATACTGATCGGTAATGGTGAGGCCATGTGAATCTCTTTTTTCATTGATGCTTCTTGCCTGCATCAGTGATTTCATTTGTAGTAGTAATTCTGTCATTTCTTCTACATTTATTAGCTGACATTTTTTGAAGTAGAATCACCCACCCCAACCTTCATGTATTTTTAGTTATAATTTGGACCCGTGGGTGCTTTTTTCATTCAAGGGGCCTTAATCCATTACCTTCATTGTTGTTTTTGATGTTCAGGTTGTTCCCCACTTGGCCAGTGGGAGAACCTTTTAAGCTGGACCCTCTGTTCTTTTAATGTATACCCATTAGTTTATGAGCACTTCCTGTTTCTGGCATAAAAAGATGCTCACATCGAACCTTTCCTACTCCCAACCAGTAATCAGCTATTTTTCCAAGGAATTCTTTCTTTTTAAAAGAGTGTGGCATGAATGATATATGGAAGAAAGTAGGATTTGGGTAGTAGGTGTGCTCTTTGCTACTGGAGTGTCATTGCTTTCAGGCCTTTTCTTTGAACGGAGATACCTGAAATGATGAATTCTTACTTATACTTCCAATTCAGATTGGAACATTGTAGGGTTCCCATTACGTATTTGCATTTCCCATCTTCCAAGGTAAGTATCCACTGTCTCAAAAAGCATCACTATATTTAGGACAATATACAGAATACTTGCAGTATTCCTACTCCAATAACACTGCCAATTACAAACTTATTATGAAATCCAGAGCTTCTGGACAGGTATTTTTACCTTTAGAAACATCATCACTCTGACTTCTGCTCAAGATGGCAGCATAGGTAAACACAGCTTGTGGCCTTACACAACCACATCAAAATTACAACTATAAAATAGAACAACTATCACTCAGAACCATCCGAAGTCAAGTTGAGTGGAACTCGGACGCTACAGAATTCAAGAAACCACATCCATCCTGGCTGGCAGGAGGAACAGAGACACAAAAGGGTCTGTCCCACATCCACATGGCATGGATGAAAACTTGAGAGGGATATCTCAGACATGAGGAGTCCAAGCAGGTCTCCCATGCCAGGGGTCCAGTACCAGGAAGAAAAGTCCCCATAACTTCTGGCTGCAAATACCAGCAGGCTTTGATCTGGTGGAAGAAACTTCTTGAGTCCCAAGCATTTCACCTTAAAGAACCCACAGACAGACTTCCTGTAACATCCTCCCTGTGACGTCCAGCACCAGGGTAGCAGCTTGAAAGGCACACCTGGCCTACAGAAAGAAATTGAAGGCCAGTTTCTGGCTTCAAGGCAAGCACTAGGGGACAGCTTTTCCCAGACAGACAGGCAGGCAGAGGCCATTGTCTTTTTTGTGATCCCTGCCCCAGCAGAACAACAGAGGCAACAGACGGGTTCTATATGTGGGACTCCATCAACCTGGCTAACACTGTTTGCCCCACCCTGATATCACTGAGTCTCACCCAACTTACGGGTCCACCCAAACTGCTAATCTATGACTTTTCCACATGAATAGCTGGTCTTGGCTCCTGCTTCACAACTCCCTCAATCCTGTCAAGCAAACAACAGCTGGCTTCAGTAGGCCCCCAGCCTCTGTACCACTTTCTCAGTGGCCCCAGACCAAGTATTAGCAGCAGCCAGCCTGGATTCATAGCTTGGTTTCAGTTGGGCATCTTCAAGACCAGCACAAGTGAAAGTCTACTCAGATTGCTTTATAGTTCAGGCGGGGTGACTCCAGGCAGAACACAGGTTGGGACTGACCTTCACGTGCAGCACCCAGAAAACTGCAGAGCCCGTCTACCCAGTGCACAGCTACAGACCATGTAGGAGCACCACCACCTTGCCCCTGCACAGCAGATCCTCCACAGAATACAGAGATTGGTGGTCAGTGGTCATAACCAATCCTTGCTGCTCACTGGCCTGGGTGAAACTCTCTCATTGACCTACTAACAGCAATCAAGGCTCAACTACAAGAAGAGAGTGTACCCCAGCCCACATGAAGGGCACACCCTAAGTACTCAGCTTAAATGGTAGCGAAGGCTGTGCCACTGTGCCCCCAGGACACCTACTACATTAGGTCATGCTACAAAGACAGGGAGCCACTGAAGCCCTACCTCATATGTAGAAACAAACACAGGCAGGCTGCCAAAATGAGCGCACAAGGAAACATGGCCCAAATGAAAAAACGATCAAAACTCCAGAAAAAGAACTAAACAAAATGCAGCTAAGCAATCTATCAGATGCAGACTTCAAAACACTGGTTGTAAGGATGCTCAAGGAACTAGTGAGGACCTCAACAGCATAAGAAAGATTCCGTCAGAAATGAAGGATCCACTAAGTGAAGTAAAGAACAACTTACAGGGAAACAACAGTAGATTGGATGACACCAAGAATCAAGTCAATGATTTGGAACATAAGCAGGATAAAATTAAAAACAACCAGATCAGAAGAAGAAATACAAGAATCTAAAAAATGAGGGTAGTGGAAGCAGCCTCTGGGACAACTTGAAGAGGTCCAAAGTTTGCATCATAGGTGTGCTAGAAGGGAAAGAGAAAGAACAAGAAATTGGAAACCTCTGTGAGAAAATAATGTCAGAAAACTTCTCTGCTTTGGTGAAAAGAATAGACATGCAAGTCCAAAAAGCACAGAGACTCCCAAATAAGGCAATGCAAAGAGGCCCACACGAAGACACATCATAGTTAAAATACCAAAGGTTAAAGATAAAGAGAGAATCTTAAAAGAAGCAGGAGAAAAGCAGTTAGCTACCTACAGGGAGGTCCCATAGGACTTTCAGCTGATTTCTGAAAAGAAACTTTAGCGGCTAGAAGAGATTAAGAGAAAGTATACAAAGTCATGAAAAGCAGGGACCTCCCACCGACATTGCTCTAACCAGAAAAGCTATCATTTAGAATAGAAGGGCAGATAAAAAGCTTCCCAGATAAGTAAAAACTAAAGGAGTTCATCATGACCAAAACATTATTACATGGAATATTAAAGGGACTCTGAAAAAAAAAGACATCAAAACTATAAGCAATAGGGGAATGGGTGAGAATGTGAGGGGATTAAGAAGTACAAGTAGGTAGTAACAGAATAGGCATGGGGATGTAAAGTACAGTATAGGAAGTGGAGTAGCCAAATTAGTGTTAAGCATGACCCATGGATATGAACAATGAAGTGCTGATTGCCTGAGGGAGTGGCTGTGGCTGGAGGGCGAGATATTGGGACAACTGTAGTAAAATAACCAATCAAATAGAATTAAAATTTCATAAAGAATATAGCACACTAATGGTATATAGTTAGAATGTCACGTTTTCAATTACTTAAATTATGTTTTTCTATCTAGCTATATAATCAGGTTTGTTTGCAGTAAGATTCATTTATATGTATTGTATTTAGATTTAGGGTTTCCTGGGTTTGATCCCCTAAGATTTTGTTTATATTCAAATATGTGAAGCACTTTTGTGATTGAAAAGTGAGAACTTTATGATGAGGTAAAGCCAGAGGAGTCTTAATCCTGTCATTATCCCTTCTTTATTCTTCCCTCACACCACAATGTTAACCATTTTCATTAGTTTCTTGGTTGTCCTTTTGTGTTTTTTGCCTCCAAAATTAAACAAAACTATCCATCTCTATAGAGGAATATATGTGTACACCCAAATGTACATTTTTTCTTATTTTTTACTCAAAACGTAACATAATTCCTCAGCTTTTCATAGGGATCTTTTCTGTACATTAGCTGCATAATATCCCACTGGGGATTGTGCCGTACCTCATTCATCCAGTTTTTAATCCATAGTCATTTAGGTTGTTTCCAATATTTTGCTGTTACAGTGATACTAAAATGAGTAAATTTGCCCACATATTGTTTCATATTTGTGGAGGAGAATTTTCAGGGTAAATTCTAGAAGTGAAAGGTTGCTAAAGAAAGAGTGAATGCACATGTGATGTTGTTAGATGTTAGGATAATTCACTCTGGGGGGCCAAGCCTTTCTGCACTCTTACCAGTCACGTGTAGCACAGCTTGCTTTCCCCAGGCTTTCATGCTTTTTAACATTTTGTCAGTCAGGAAAGGAGAACTGGAATCTTGGTGTGTTAAACTAGTTTCTTTTTTATACAACTTCTAATGCATTGTTATCTTTTGCTGTTGGATTTAGATTGGTTTGTTTGTTTTTTAGAGGGGAAGGGAGGAAAAGAGAGAGGGAGAAACAACAATGTGAGAGAGAAACATTGATCTCTGTCCTCTTGAACATGATCTGACCAGGGACCCAGTTTGCAACCTGGCACGTGCCATGATCAAGAATTGAACCAGCCACCTTTTGCTTCATGGGATGAAGCCCAACCAACTGAGCCTCACCAGTCAGGGCTTTAGTTTTTTATTTTTTTTAAGCAATTTTCACATCTATAGTCATGAGCAAGATTGGCTTTCGCTTTCCTTTCTTGAACTGTCTTTTGAAAGTTTTAGTATAAAGATGATGCTAAGGTCAGTAAATGGGTTGAGGAACATAGCCTTCCCTCCTTATCTATTTTCTGAAAGTGTTTGTGTATAATTGGCATTATTGTTTTCTTAAATGTTCAGTAGAATTTATTATTGAAGTTGTCCAGGCCTGGTGCTTGTTTGTAGGAATGGTATTTATTAATCATTGATTCAGTATATTTTGTAGTAGTAGGACTATTCAGATTTTTCCACTCCTGTCCATTTTAATAGATCATCCTCTTTTCTAGGAATTTGTCTAACTTATCTCAAGTCTGCAAATTTGTTCTGAGGAAATTGTAACTATTTTTTTTAATTTAAACAAGCTTAATTTTTATTTTAAAAAATTATTTTATTATTGTGCATGTACAGTTGTCTGCATTTACACTCCACCACTTTTGCCCCCAACCCCACTATCCCTACCTCCCTCCCTGTTCCACCCCAACTTGGTTTTGTCCATGTGTCCTTTATAGTTGTTCCTGAAAATCCTTCTCCCTTCCCCCTCCCCTTTATCCCCTCCCACCTCCCCTCTGGTTACTGTCAGATTGTTCTTATAGCCATAATTGTTCTTATAATAATTTCAATGTCTCTGGTTATGCTTGTTTGTTGGTTTTCTTGATTAGATTCTACTTGAAGGTGACATCATATGGTATTTGCCTTTCACTGCTTGGCTTGTTCCACTTAGCATAATACTGTCCAGTTCCATCCATGCGGTTGTGAAGGGTAGGAGCTTCTTCTTTCTTTCTGCTGCATAGCATTCCATTGTGTAAATGCGGCAAAGCTTTTTGATCCATTCATGTACTGATGGGCACCTAGGATACTTTCAGAACTTGACTATTGTAAATTGTGTTGCTGTGAACATTGGAGTTCATGGGTTCTTCTGAATTGGTGTTTCAGGATTTTTAGGGTATAATCCCAGCAGTGGAATTGCCAGGTGAAAAGGTAGTTCCATGTTTAGTTTTCTGAGGAAACATACTGTTTTCCACAGTGGCTGCACCAGTCTGCATTCTCACCAGCAGTGCGCTAGGGTTCCCTTTTCTCCACATCCTCGCCAACACTTGTATTTTGTTGATTTGTTCCTGATGGCCATTCTGACTGGCGTGGAGTGGTATCTCACTGTGGTTTTAATTTGCATCTCTCTGATGGCTAGTGATGCTGGGCATCTTTTGATATGTATTGGGGCCTTTTTGTTTTTGTTGATGTTTGTCCTCCTTAGAAAAGTGTCTATTCAGGTCCTTTGCCCACTTTTAAATTGGATTGTTTATCTTCCTGGAGTGGAGTTGTGTGAGTTCTTTCTATATTTTGGAGATGAAAACCTGTCTGAGGTATCGTAGGCAAATATGTTTTCCATGGATTCCACTTAGGATGCACTTTCCATATGAGGACTTTTTTTTTGAATTCTGGAAATTTTCAATTATTTTTATTAACTTTTCTCCATTCTTCTAGAACTTTTCTCAGTCTATCTGCCATGTCTACTCATTGTTCTTTTATTAAAATTTATTTTACTTTTCTGCATTGCAGACGAGGTGAATTCCTCAGAACTATTCTTTAATTCATTAATTCTCTCTTTAAGTGTGTTCAGTCTTAACTATGTATTTGTTAAGATTTGAAAATTTAATGCTGATATTTTTTATTTCCAAGTTTTCTACTTGGTTCTTCTTCATATATTTCTATAAATTATAGTTTCATTCTGTTTGTTTTTAGTTTGTAGTTTAAAGTGTTCAGGTTCATAGTCCTGCTGACCACCACCCCCGCCCCCAACTCCCTTCCAAACATGGGAAGCACTTATTCTCTCAACAGAACGGATGTGAGTCAGAGGGCAGGATGAGATCCTAAAACTTGGTACCTGATAGCACATGTCTCTTGTTTGAGGAATCTCATATTATACTAATTTTGCATGTGAAGAAATAGACTCTCCAGAAGTGACATGAATGGGCAGAGGATACATTGTTAGTGAGAGGCAAAGAAATATTCAGAGCCAAACTTGTCTCTTCTGGTTTTTCACTATTTTGTGCGTGATTTCATCACTCCATGTTAACTACTTTTCAAGAAATACAGACCCACCTCTAACAAGAGAGAAACAGCTTCTCCCTGCTCACCCTCTTTATTCCTTACAGAGATGTTTAGACGTAAGGTGGCTCCCCAAAGCCTGCCAAGAACAAAAAATATACTGTAAGCTCAAACATCAGGGACTTGATGGAAGCAATCCAACATGCTGATCAGGTGAGGACATCTCTGACATCTTCCTGACTCTAGCCAAAGTAGAACCACCTCCACAGTAGCAGCTGCTTAAGTGTATTGCTATTGTGTCAGGAGAATGGGAAGAATTTCCAGTCGGCAGAGCACTGCAGCTCCAGGTCAAGTTCCCACGTCCTTATTCTGACCCATATGTTCTCCACCTGCCTCAACCCTGGGTCCAGCTTGAATCCTCACTCTAGAGTCACCCTTCCTCTTCCTTTCTCAACCAGGATCATTATTCTCCTTTTTAAAAACCTCCATCCTACAACCTTCCTTTCTTATTGAGTCCCCTCTCTCCTACAGGTCCCAGAAGAAGAAATATTTTACATACTCCCATTATTGAACATCAATATCATCCATGGGAATGTAAAATATAACGAGTGTCTGGACTTGGTAGACGTCATTGTCAATTACCTGAGCAAAATGGTGAGGAGCCCATGCCTCTGGGTTGAGGTTTTTGGGGGGAAGAAAGGATCACAGGTCTAAACCCAGAAGTTCCTTTCTGGTGAACTGAGTGGTATATGAGATATAAGTACCTAAAGTTTCTATACAATTTACTAGAACCTATATCTGATATCACAAATGTGTCTCAAGACTGTGATGTAGAAGATAAAGTAAAGAAGTAGAGGGTAGTGTGGGAGAAATGGGATGCAGAGGCCGGGAAGTATTAGGCTTTTGGCTCCAAAGCCTGATCTTGTTCTTCCACTGTGTTCTAAACCTGCTCCTGGGATAACTTAGGCAGTCACCCTTGTTACTGCAACTCAACTAATCACTTCAATCTATTTACTAAGTGACTTAAATCCACCCACGTGTCTGCTAGCCCACCTTGGGACTGTATATTCATAACCTCTACCCATTCATCTATCCACATACCCATGTACATAATTTTTCTGACACCAGGTAAATCTGGTTTCTGATTTTATTGGTTAACTGCCTACATACAAGGTGTCTTCCAGTTTTTCGGCCTTCCTTGGCATGCCTGCTTTCTGATCAAGACCCCTGACCTATCAGGGACTTTTCAAACTGGCTTCCACCATCTAACCACGTTTCTGATGGTTCACTTGCAGCCACAGGGAAATCTCTGTGCTCTGGATATGCCAACTCCCTTTCCTACCAAACACACAAGCCAGAGACTTTGCAGAGAATTTGCCCTTGTCCTCCATCATGGGAAAGTTGTATGTTGAATGAAGTGGTGGGATTAAGAAATTTAGCATCTGCCCTTTAGATAGAGGAGAGCCACTTATCAACCAAAGTCAATTCTCAGCAGCCCCAGGACTCGTGTTGGATATTAACTTTGGTACAGTTAAGTCGTTCTCTTTCCAGAAGCCAAGACCAAAACTGGAGAGGTTTTGCATTATCACCTTAAAAGGTGTGGGGGCTAAGAACCCACAACTGGTCTACAGGAAGCTGTGGGATAGAGAATACGATCACTGTCTGCCTCCAAAGAGCCTCCTAATTGTGGTTGGGGATCTCTGCTGCTCCCGAGGTACTGCTGCCTGTGGTGGAAGAGTTAGTCTGAGAAGAAAGAAAATGGGGGGAGTAGGCAGTAGGGTGCTGCATGGAGTTTAGAGGTTAGCTTTATCCTCCAGTCATGGGTGTGTGTGTACAGGGGATGGGAGCTAACTAGGATCCCTGTAGGGCTGATGGGAACTCAGAAGGCAGTTCCTGGAGACTAGGAATGGCACAGGAGGGCACATTAGGGCATGGGACACTGTGGGGCTGGAGGTTACACTTGGGCATAAAGATGGAAGGCACCGTTCGAGAGTGCTGGGTAGGGGCAAAAGAGAAGTGAGAAGTGCTTTGCTTGGGGGATCCTGAAGTTTTTAATTTGATTAGAGGTTTGGGGGGGGGTAATAGTGTAGTAAGTGTTAGGGCTGGAATTAGATAAAAGTAGCCAAAAGGAACCCAAGGCAGGCTCCAGACTGTCTCAGCAAGGAAGATAGAAAGTACAGAAAGTACAAAGATTGCTGAACAAGATAAACCGCCTTGTGCATGACCTTGTCCTTGCAGAAAACTATCCATTGTTGCAAGCAGAGAACATAGCCATGTGTGTTCTCTCGGGATAGCCAATTGCTAACAGCTACGTCTGCTTCTGTATTTGCTTGCTTGCTCACCCCAATAAAAACTCCAGGCTGTAAGCGCCAGGCGCGACTCTCATCTGCAGCCATTTTGGCACCGTGTCTCCAGAGACACCCCGAGAGTTTGCCCCTGCGCAGGTAAAACTTTGAAACTTTGGCCAATAAAGTTCCATCTTAAACTCCTGAAGCCTTCCGACATTTGCTCACATTGGGGTATGTTACATAAGATGAGGCAGAGAATCATTATACGATCTCCAACTGGTGGCTGCTGGTGACAGCACTGGCTCTCTTACCCTTTCCACCCACCTCCTTCAGTCACAAATTGTGAAAAAAAAATTAGGTTGCCAGGCAACTGACAGTACATGTCATTTCTTTACCACTTGGAATTGAGTGTAGAGATGAGTTGGGAGAAGTCAGCTGGCCTTGTAGGCATTATGTTCAAAATGACAAGGCTTATGGGTTGGGCTGCATAGCACGCTTAGGGGACACAGTAACAGAATCTGGAAATGTGTCTCTCACCTAACCAGGCCAAACGTTCTCACTTCAGAACAGTGAGCAGAGCTTCAGGCAGCACAGCTCCTGTTTCCCTTAAGGGTCCTTGGAAGGGAGTGTGTGTGTGTAGGGTGTGTGCTAACATCCAGCATTGCCCTCTATTTTCCCCAGCAGCCCTGTGAGGTGGTCATGTTAGAAAGTGTAGTCCTATTTAGCAGCTGAGGAAGCTGAAAGGAGGATAAATTCAGTAATTTGTTCTGGGTTGTCCAGACTCTCTGGAGGCAGAGATGGGATCAGGACCCAAGGCTCCTGTCCCCTAATCAATAAGGTTTTCCACAGTAAGGCTGGGAGTCTCCTCTCCCTGAGACAGGGCCATTTTTCTTGTACTCTCCCTCCCAGGTTCTGCTCTCTTAATCGGGCGCATATGGCAACGCCTTGTGTTATTTTTGAAGATGGCCCACAGTGGGAAGGACATGTTGGCGATGTGTCATGGTGAGGATCAGGAGTGTTCAAGGAAGGCTTTGATAGAATCAGGGAGGGAGTGTAGCAGGAGACCTGCTTTGACAAGCCCAGACAAGTGAGAAGGACAGGGTCCCTTTGCTGAGCCACTAAAATAAGGAGGGATGAGCAACTAAGTAACTAAGAAGTAAGAACAAAAGAACATTGTATGACCCTATCGGCAGCCCTGCTCTCTCAGCAGCCCTGCTTTCTTGCTTCTGTAAACCTGCTTCTGCCACGTAGGCTTAGTAAAATCGCTTCCACATGCCACACTATAAGAACAAGCTTCTGCCTGAGGTCAGGACCCAGAATTTGGAGACTGCCGCCTCTGGGTCTGCATGCATAAATAAAGTTTCACGCCCGGAAGTGGCTGAGTTGTTTCCTGTAACATTTTGGTTCCCTGACCGGGCGGGAAACACTCAGAGGAGCAGGCCTTTTTTTGCCCACGGTGAGGGCAGCGGGGGGAGTGACCGAGAGGGAGCCCGGCAGCCGAAGGGAAGCACGCCCCCTGGTGATTTCGGGTCCCAGACACCCCAGGCTCCGTGGAAGTCATCCTCCGGACCGCTCTTCAACCCGGGCAGGTGGGGTGCACACTGGAACTATCCAAACCTGAGAAGGTGCCAACCCGTAAGTGCCCCGGGGACCAGAGCCCGAGACCAGGCCCACCCCTTGTGGTGGAAGGAGAGACCGATCACCTCTCAGGCCGGCAATTAGCCGTAAGTCCTCTGGAGGCCAATTGGCCATCTGGAAGGGGAAATGTATGCCCATCTGGGCAGTCCTACTCGGTCGGGGCTGTATAAACTCTCGGATGTTTGTCTGTGTGTTTGTATGTGAGTGACTGTATAAAGGATATGAAAGTTTTAAACCTGGAGTAAAGGAAATTTCAACTACTTGTTTTCTGGTTTCCTGGGAAAAGGGCAAATTTCTCACATGTGGTTCTGTTTCTGATCAGAAACCTGTATTGTAAGACCTAGGAAAGGTCACCTGTAGCCGGTTGGGATGCCTTTGCCACCCAGGACCCAGGAAGGGTCAGTTGGGGCTGATGAGTGCTTCAGCCGGAGGCAAAGCAGCATGTCTCTGCCATGAGACCGGGTCTGAAAGAGCATGTCTCTGCAAGGCACCAGTGGACACATTGGTGCAAGAGAGTGCCTCTACCTGTGTATTGTTTCGGAACTCTGTTTTGGATTTTGCTCTGTATCTGCTCTGAAAAGGAAAAGAAAAAGCCCACTGGAGGACCAGGCACCTACAGTCCTCAGCCTAGCTGTGTTAGACCCAGACCAGACTGCCACAGGGCTTCAGAAATTCTTCCACTTCCCTCAGAGAGGCCCTGGCCAGAGATCTAAAATCATTCACCAAGAAGGAGACTGACCCAGTATTACTGCGGTGTGTAGATGACCTCCTTTCAGCCACACCAACCCAAGACTGGTGCTGGGAGGGCCCTTCCCAGCTGTTAGAACTGCTAACCAAGACAGGGTACCTCTGCTGCCCTAACCTGGCTGTGCTCTGCGCCTCTTTCTAAAAGTCGCACAGGACTTTTAGAAACTTTCATATGCCCGATCACTCCCGGATCCCACTCTAGCCCACAAAAGGCTGCACCACCTCCCCCATCACAGGTTTTCAGGCTTAAGTGGATTAGAGCCAGGAAGTGCTTCTCCCCAAGGTAAGAATAGCTGGGGGGGGGGTGCATTACTCCCTCTTTGTTGCAGCCCTCCCAAGACTTTCCATGATGGCCTCCCAAGTCATCGTGTCTGGCTTAGGTGGCCCCTCCTCTGAGGGGTCGTAATGGTCTCTGACTATCCAACCATACACTGGGGGCAGGGGAGTAAGCAGAGGCAGCATTTGCTACCAGAGACAAGCTTTGTCTCCTTGTGGCTCGCATTCTGGAGGTTGCTCACTCATCCTTAGCTGTCACAACTCCTGAAACCAGGCAGAGCAGTTCACAGCACCACTGATTAGCTGTGTGACCTTGAGCAACTCACTTTTCTTCTCTAAGACAGAGATTCTTTAGCTGTTACCTGTGAGACTAACCTGCATGATTCCTGAAGTTCCTTTCTCTCTCACTTTTGTGGGTTTATGAGACTCAGCTGGGGTGCAGCAATCTTTGGCACAGCAAGTCTGCTGATCCCCAAGTTTCTCTTCTCCTCATTGGTGCTGAGAGAGGTAACTCAGTAGGATGCTCTTTTGCCAGACCCAGGGCCAGGTCTTACAACCTGTATTTCAGTTCTGGCCTTGCTGTAGGTTAGCAGTGAACTTGGACAAGTTACTTACCCTCTATCAGTCTTTGTTTCCTTTCCCAGAAGATACATCAATTCACATGCGATGCTCTGCAGTCAAGGACTCTTACATTCAGCTTATGAACACAGAGCTAAGCCCTGGGTAACTAAGAGACCCAAGGGAGGCACATGAAATGGACACTGACCCTTGATTCCTGTTAGGTCCCCTCACTAGTGATTTTTTGGGTAGCAGTGCCAGGTTACTGAAACCACTGAGCCCGATTCTCTTCATGATGACATAGGGCTCTTTGATCTACTTAATTAGATTTCCTGCAAAGTCTTGCCCTATAGAATGAGTAATGGCTTCTTCCTTCTGTCCTTCCACTCTGGGTCATGCGCCCTGCACCCTTCTGCTGCATCATTCTGTTCAGAGTGTTTTCTTCTTACAATTTCATACAAGATAATTTGTAGGGCAAAGTACTAGCATGGCTCTCTGTGGAGTGAGGGATGTCTCTTGCTTTTACACTGTGCTCCTTACTGTATAGAAGGGAGTCAGCTTAATTCTGGATTGGTCTAAAGGGTCATTGCAGAGAGACATTATGGGTCAAGAGATGATTGGTAGATATTCCGTGAGCTTGCTTGTTTGCAACCTCAGCCTCACCTTTCACAAGTGTCTATGCCCCCTGACAGCCCAGACAATCAGGGTGCATCCTGAACAGTGCCTGCCCTCCTGCACATGGTTGTCATTACCCGAGGCATCGGCCACACAGAAGGAAGGCGCTGCAGTTCAGAGCTCAGAATTACAATGCTTGGGCTCTGTGGGACCACAGAGAAAATTTAGCATAAGCCTATGTTTTCGGGGTGAGTGAATTAAAGCAGCTGAGGGAGGGACTGAGCCATGGTACTTCAAGATTGGGCTCCTTGATCCTCTTGGTTACATTGCCCCCTGGGATACATTGCCACTAGGTTATGTGGAAGGCTGGTTCTAAAGGACTTTGGGAGGCCCGATATCCAGGTCATGTAAGTCTACAGACTGAAAGTTATACTGCCCAAGAGTGAAGGTATGGGAAATAAACTAAGCCTTGGGGAACTAAGAGACCCAAGGCAAGTGACACTTACGGCTCTGAGACTGATTCTCAGTACCCTCTGGGTCCCCCCATTCTTACTTTTCCTGAGTTGCAGTGCCAGGTTACTGATGCCATG